TAACATATTTATAACATGAAAATTTATGGCCACTAAGATAAAAAAAGCAGCAACAGAAATATCAAAACTTATACAATGGGTAACCCAAAATGTTATTTAATCCAGTGCATACAATTCAAAGTGTACTCTAAGAGTGCCCAATGGAAACTTATAATCGAGTGCATGAAACTATCTCTATCATTACACCATCGTCATCACAATTTTCTTCTTGGGCTTATCTTTAGTCTCCTTTTGATGTTTCTGCCCAACTTTTCTTCTCTTTCGTTTTCACTAAATTTGCTTAAGAGAAGTGTTATTTAGACGTTATTTATTTGTTTATTAACCCTTAAATAAAGGACAAAATTATAATAAAAATATTAAAAATTAAATTTTACCAAGGGTAATTTAGTTGGTAATTTGTTTGGACTATAGAAAAAGTCATGTATCCAGGCAACAACTTGTAGTAAAATAACTTAACCAAGGGCAATACATGGTCGGTAAACTTACTAACATTGTATGAAATTAAAAGCCCAAATATTCTGGTAGGAAATATTTTCAAGATTATGTTATCTTTCGCAAGTGAATAAGAGCCGGCTTGAAATCTGACGATGTCGTCGTGGCCACGTCTTTTGGCTTCAAAGATGTACCAGTGGAACACATAAAGAGGTTAAAAAACACGTGACTTGGTTGACAAGATTAAATAAGAGCCATGATAATGAGCGGAGACGTAAAGGCGTTGAATGTTCGGTCTAGTTTTTTGGGATCTTTTAGTTCATTTCATTTATTACGGATTGAAGAAGAAAAAGAAGAAGAGCGGTAGGTTTGTCGCAGTCTTGGAGTCATAAGAAGTGAATAAAGTTTGTAATTGTATTATTATTATTATTATTCATTATTTTTTTGTATTACATTAATTTTAATTATATAAATTTATCTTTATAAATAGTAACAATTAGATTGAATTTTAATTTTATTAGAAGGTTTTACTTCGGAAGCTAAAATAACAAAGTAATTAAAAGCAGTAAAAATCAGAATGAGAAAAATCTTTAATCTTCAGCTTCACAAACACCAACTTTGAGCTGCAGGAATTCGTTAGCTTTATCACTTTCAAGTTTCAATCAGGCGGCAACACAATTTTAATTCCTAAATCACTACAGAGTATTAGGTTATTTTGAAAAATAATAAAAACGTGCTTGCGATTTGAAATTATATAAATTTAATAAAATTTATATAATTTCAAATTTAACGTGTGGGTTGTCTTGTCTTCATCTTTTTTAAATTGAAGATTTTTCTACCGTACAAACATCTTGATCAAATCATTTAAATAAAATATCATGTTATCCACTTTCTTAATATCAGTTATTCCCTTCATACTTAACTAACTGCCCCCGCATTAAAAATTAAAAAATGAAATGGAAGAGACGTGGATGTGGAAAAGCTATTGGTGGCGGTGGCGCGATGCACACCAACCCAAGCCAACTTGGCTTCCCATGAAAACATTACATGTGTAGAATTAGCTCATTATAAATTTTTATTTCAAAAGCTTTTAATTTGCCGTTTACCAGTAAAATTAAATAATAAAAATTGATTTATCACTAAATCTTACCAATTTTTTCTCATAATTCTGGTATAATAACTTATAAGTCATAACTGATAAATTTATAATAAGTCATGTCTGATTAATTACGAATTATCTAATTACAAACTATTACATTGAGATTATAAAAAGAATTTGTGAGATTAGATTGTAAGTGTAGTATTATTTAAAATTAAAAATAAAAATTTAATAATAAGTTACATGTGGTTCATCCATTAATTATAATTTCAAGTTTCAATTTTCTTTTTCTTTTTTTAGTTGGAAGTATTAAGATTAAACTTATAATATATATATAACCTCATATTTGTTATTTTTTCTTTATGTTTCACACCAAACACTTATTAAGACATTTCTAGTTATGGCATGTGGGCCATTCGTCGTCCACAAGTGGATCGTTTCTTCTTCTTCTTCTTCTTTTTTTTTTTTTTTCTCTAAATTTTATATTTTGAAGAACTCTTAAGTCTTAAGAATTATTCAACTGTTGCCAGCCCTGCAAACTAGGACGCGGGTTGAAACGGTGAAAAAGAAATCACGTTTATTAGTTTATAGGACTTGGTTACATGCCAGGAATTAAGAGAACTTTCAAGAAGCGAAATAATTTTTAATATAATAATATTTGATATTATTAATATTAAAAATTATTAATATAATAGTATCGTGACCACGAATTCCTCATTCAAACAAGATGACTCATGGATATTAATCTTTGATATTTAATTATTATTGAAATTTTGTATATTCAATTTAACCTTAAACAAACAAACAAATTATAGACACCTCTTGAAAGACAGTTAAGTGAGAACATAGGATAAGAATTAAGTCGAATCCCTTTTATATATATATATAAAAGGAGACAATTTGAGACATAACAATCATACTCACTGAAATAGTCAAAATTTTGGTTCTAAGCCCACACACGAAGACAACCCAATTAAAAGAGTAAACGACTTTTTCCCATCCAAATGGTTTAATGATAATTTTTCACCTTAAATTTTCAAAATATTATTTTATTATTTAAATTTAATTTTTATTTCCGATTCTACATCGTTGTGATCTTATACCACAACTATTTTCTTCCACAATCATCACTCACCAAAACCAATCAAGTCTTACTCCCGCTAACCTTGTCAATCGCCATAATCGAACAATTAAGGTTTAAGCAGCCACATTTTCTAGTCAAATTCTTATCAATCTTAACCATAAAATCCAACTTCTACCACACAAGACTCATCGACATTCTCTCTTTAAAAGCCCTAACAGTTTAGACTGAATTTACTTTCTATTCGGCGTCGAAATAAATTTAAGTAGTAAAATAGTATTTTTAAAGCCTGTAAATAGGAAAGTGTTATTAAACCATTATTTAGGTGGGAAAAAGTCGTTAACTCAATTTAAAAACTCAACTCGAAAAGGGTATAAATAAGACCTAAAAACTTATAGGGTGTTAAATGACATTCTATGGGTTCAATAATGCACTTTTTAACTATAAAGGGTTGAAAGGACAGTAGCATTGCAAAACCTAGCTCTAACATATTTAAGCCCTATTTTCTCCATTTCACTTCAAACCACAGGCCGCTCCTCTTCTCTTAGTCTCTCCCTGTATTCTCTGTGATCTCTCTTCATTCTTCTCCAATTTTTTTTTTCTTTTCTTTGCAAAAGGCATGATAATGATGGGAGACGTAAAGTCGTTGAATGGTCGGTCTAGTTTTTTTGGATCTTTTAATTCATTTCATTTATTACGGATTGAAGAAGAAAAGAAAAGAGAAGACTGGTAGGTTGTCGCAGTCTTGGGTCATAAGAAGTGAATAAAGTTTGTAATTATATTTACTTTGTTTGGTTGGATTTTGGGAATACTACTTTTAGTATTCCCAAAAAAGTAAACAGTAAAATACCAAAAACTCACAATATTATTCAACTTTATTCAAATTTTTTAAACCCCCTAATTTGTTAATTCAATTAAATACCCCTAATATTTTAATGTTTTTGTTACGGCGACTCGCCACCCTCCGGCGGTGATGGCCGGCTGTCCGTATTTGAGGGGGATGGGGGTGTTTTTGTTAACTTTTAATGTTTTATTATAAGGGTGTTTTGTAAAAAAACAAACATAGGGGGTATTTTATAATTTATAATCCTACATCGTAATACCCACCCAATTCAACTTTTTTTTTACTTTTTTCAAAAAACTTTTCCAAAAACACAAAATTGTGAACCAAACGGAGCCATTATTTTTATTATTCATTATTTTTTTTTTTGTATTACATTAATTTAATTAAAATTTATCTTATAAATAGTAATAATTACAGTAACAATTTTTTTTTAATACAATTTTAATATATATATATATAGAAATTAAAAACTAACATGTTCATAAATTGACAGAGCAACCTAAGGAAGAACTGCAAAAGCAAAAATGAGAAAAAGGGGGAAGATTCCTTTTTTCTCTTGAAATTATGAGGCAATCAAACACTCGCACCCAGTTTTGTGTCAATACAGCTAAAAAAGTAAAGAAATAACAAGTAACATGTTCATAAATCTAACAGGAGCACCCTAAGGAAGAACCGCAAAAGCAGAAATGAGAAAAAGGGGGAAGTTCCTTTTTTCTCTTGAAATTATGAGGCAATCAAACACTCGCACACAGTTTTTGTCAATACAGAACTAAAAAAGTAAAGAAATTAACAAAGTAACATGTTCATAATCTAACAGGAGCAAACCCCTAAGGAAGAACCGCAAAAGCAGAAATGAGAAAAGGGGGAAGATTCCTTTTTTCTCTTGAAATATGATGCAATCAAACACTCGCACACAGTTTGTCAATACAGAACTAAAAAAGTAAAGAAATTAACAAAGTAACATGTTCATAAATCTAACAGGAGCAACCCTAAGGAAGAACTGCAAAAGCAGAAATGAGAAAAAGGGGGAAGATTCCTTTTTTCTTTGAAATTATGAGGCAATCAAACACTCGCATATAGTTTTTGTCAATACAGAACTAAAAAAGTAGATGTGAACTGGCAAAGAAGGCCAGCAAAAATATCCATAAGAAATCCCAGAATAGACTGGTGCATTTAGAACTCTCAGATGAGTGTTATAATAGAAATCAAATTCCAATATACAATTAGTCACTACAATGATGGAATTGCACCAGAAAGCAGAAATAAATATTTAAAAAAGGAAGCACAGAAAGCAAATAAAATGCCATTAACCCTGAAGAAAAACCCAAATTTAGAAAATGTAACATTCAATCCATAGAAGTAAAATGACCCAGAAGAATAATCCATCACTGTAATCCAAAACATTCTTTTTATGTAAAACATGCTAAAGACAGCCAGCATTAAGTCAAGTGGAAATTCAAAAATTCCTCTAGCTACCTGCATTATAGGAGCAGTCAAACCTATAGGCCCTGCAGAAGCTGAGGGATGAAGGACAGGGGATGGATTTGCCATCCATCCAGCAAGAGAAGTCGAAAGAACAGCAAGAGTAGGCTGAAATGGCTGGAAGAAACAATTTAAAGTTAAATTTCCAAGCAGTCAGAGTCCAAGTTAGCTCAATTACCTAGAACCTTCAAAATTTTTACTAACACCATGAGCACTCAGTAGTGGAGAAACCTCCAGGCTTTGAAACAGCACCCATTAAAGGATTGGTACGTGAGACGGGCTTGAGCACCATTTGGCTGTCCACAACTGTGGTCTACAAATAGGGTCTTTATGTTGGATCAGGCCTTGGATTCTTACACAGCTGATGCTGCTAATTTAAACTCAATTCAAATGCTAATAAAAGTGAACATGTTCAATTAAAAGCAATAAACAAAAGTTACAAAATCATAAAGATAGACACGCAAGAAAGAAAAGAACTTCCCAAGGACCTCTGGTTAATTAGTGTCCGTAGCCTTGATTCTTCAAGGTAGGAAATTGAAGTTATCGTGGAAAAGTGGATTAGCCTCTATCAACGTTTTCAGTTCAGCTAGCATTCTACCCCTAGCAGACTTCGTATCTCCATATTTCGAGAGCTGTTCATTATCTCTGCAAGTAAGACACAATCAAATTTACATATAAGAGATCGACTTCTTTCTTTTTTAAATAAGACACAAAAGTAGAAGACATACTAAGCTATGGAAAACAGTTCAGCACAAATTCTAAAGATATATCAATATAATACCTAAAGTTCTCCAGTGTCAATAGCTGTGTGATCTCCTTGAAAAGCTCTTCATTAAACACAGCAAAAACTTTCAAATCTTTAACTAATATATCCACACCTTTAGCACGATCAGCCTAAATTAATTTTATTTTTTTTGTCAAGAAGAAGGCATTAAAGAACTTTAAACACACTCCCAAGTTATAACAAACAATCTGTAAAACTGAAAAAATATAAAGAGAATATAAAGTGAAGTCAAAATGCACTTGAGAAGATGTACTTGTCTGAAGCTTCAAGGTACTTCTGTTTTCGAATCTCAAAGAAATCTTCATGGAATATCTATATCATCCACTTTGTGAACCCAGAGAGATACTTCCCGACCTCAACCCACTCTCCATTGTCACCATGTCTTCAAAATACCTATGTTTAAGAAAAAACCTGATTCTTGATCCAATCTAAATTAATTACATACCTCAATTAAACCCTTAACACAACCTCACAGAACTTGGCATATAAAAAATATATATGTTATGTAAATGACAACATCAGCAAACATACATGTCCACATGTTATTAACAATTAAGAATTTAAGAAAAAAAAAAAAAAGTGCATAATTGGAGCGTACCTGTGAAGAGTTCTTTGAATTTCTCTTCATTAAGAAATTGAAGTATGAGAAACATGAGTTCTCTGCAAAGTGAGAACATAACTATGTATCTATGCAAACATCACAGAGATCCAAGAGCTCACAGATCAATAGTTGGAAAATGCAATCGTATCGTCACACACAAAACAAAAATAATTGAAAATTCAAACTTTAAGCAAATTACAAAACACAAACAAAATCCAACCAAATGAGGTTCAAAATCTAACCTTCGGTGTCAGAATCTGCATCAAGATAGTCATTGTCGTCGTTGTCGCTGTCGGCAATATAATTTCAAAGGCATTAAGCAGGAAAAACTAAAACAGCTGAATGCTGCTTGTTAATATAAGTTTTCCTCTAGCTACGTGCATTATTAGGAGCAATCAAACCTATAGGCCCTACAGAAGTGAGGGGTAAGGGACAGGGGATGGATTCGTCATCCATCCAGCAAAAGAAGTTGGAAGAGCAGCAGGAGTAGGCTGAAATGCCTGGAAGAATACAATTTAAAGTTAAATTTCCAGACAGTCCGAGTCCAAGTTAGCTCAGTTACCAAAACCTTAAAAAAATTTCAACTTACCCCAAAAGCATTCAGGTGGGAAAACCTCCAGGCTTCGGACCAACACCATTAAAGGATTGGTACTGGGATTAGGCCTTGGATTCTTACATAGTTGATGCTACTATTAAACTGCAATACCAAACTATAATGCATATAATCAGAAATACCAAAAGTAAATTACACGTATTTATAAAAAGTTACAAAGCAAAACAAATGAATAAGCCATGAAAAGACCAAACAAATAATTCAGCATTTAAAATGCCAGGTACCCATTAATGCAATTCTATGAAACACATTCGTAAACCCAATCAATATGCTTTAAGTGAAGAAGAGAAACAAATAGAACAACACAAACAACAAGTTTACAGTTCAAGTCTCAGCTTCAAATCAGCAACAAAATACAATCTACAGCCCCAGAAATAAACATATATGAGAGTCCCTGACACCAAATGACCCAAACCTCAAACACGCATGTCCCTGTAGAGTGTTGATGTACTTTTATTTGATTAATGCCTTGTTTCTTTGAAGTGGGATTGTCTTCCTGTGATGTTTCACCAGAGTAGCCTCTGAGAGAAAAGGAAAAAAAAAAAAATTTAAATTGCATTCCCCACAGACATAATCTGTATAACATGTAGATGTAAAAGATCAGAGGTCGGCCAAGTATAACAAAAGAAATAACCTGTTTCAACAGTTACCCCATCACACACAAAAAGCAATTAGAGTGAGTGAGTGGTCGTCCGTACACCATTTTTGTAGCCATCAACCCGTTAATCAGCCGGAATATGGCAAAGAACAATCGTGCGACGCGGCTGTTGTGGGCGGTGATCGGTGAGTGTAGTCCGGGGAAAAGGGATGGGGTTTTGATGGTGGGATGCCAGGGGTTCTTGTGTGGGTAAGGGATAGTGGCCGGTGGCACCACCCCTCTTCAAGACAAACAAATCAAGGAGAGATGGATGCTTTTTAAGTTTCAGGGCTTGGATTGAAGTTATGAAGTATAATCTGCAAAGAAAACTCTAGCGGCAGAGAGAGAATTAATTGAAAGAAACTGATCTGATTTCTATTACACAATCTGCTTCAATACTGACTTTCTCTAAAATGGTTTATATACAAATTAATCTAGTGATCCATGTCACTTTACATCACACTCCTTCATTCACTTTCAAACAAACACACAAACACTAATTATTCATCATTCGATTCCTTTGGTCTTTCTCTACTGCAACTCTGTTTGTTCTCAGACTTAGAAGAAAGAGCTGGCACTTTGTTTGACTTTATTTATTTGAAAGTTTCCACAGTTTGAAGATTGTTGTAAGCGGCAGTGTATTCTTTCAAGGCTTTCTAACCGAAATTGTTTTACTTAACAGACTTTTCATTCCTTTATCACTGGCAATTGTGTATTCACACTTCATTAGTTCCACACTTCTTTCTTCAGTTAAGAAAATTTTAAGTTTCAGCTTGCATATTACTGCTGACATCGTCCCTCAAGCAAAACTTGAAAAAATTTCTTTGTCCCCTCTAATGAACTCCTTCTGTACTTAACACAATAGAAAAACAATCAAACCAATAAAATTGAACTAAACAACCATATAAAAAAACTGAACTGAATTCATCTCCCTACTAAACACTATTTAAACTTCAGCTAGCAATCATTTCCCTGTTGATCACTTCACACTTCACTGCTCATCATTGTTGTCAACCATACACCATAGAGTGCACAATTACTTGAGCTGCAAAATTACTTCAACTGATCTGTTATCAACCGCAAACCATCAACATATTAGAAACATCAGACTAGAAACCATCAACACACTATCTTAATCCTCTATAACACCTTATTTCAATCTGCTATTTTGAATCTCGAACCGGCAACACCAAATTATCAAGACCAACAATACCAAACTAGAAACTATATTAGCAACACCAAATTAGAAACTGCAACTTCATTCTCCCTAACCCCTTATTTCAACGCCAAATTATAAAGACCAACAACACCAAACTAGAAATTGCTACTGCACTAAACCACCCTGTAAAAAACAGCTAAGAAGCAGCTGAGTTTGAAGCTTGCCGTATTGACGTCATTGCTCAAGCAATAACTCAGATGATTAGAGAACGGGAACTGAAGAACGAATGTGTAATTGCTCTCGAAGATTTTGAAAGCAAGAGCTGGCAAGTGGTTTTGTCAGAATATCAGCAATTTGAAAAGTACAGGCCACATATTGAACCATAAGACGATTAGAGGTACCATTTCTCGAATGAAATGAACATCAAGTTCAATATGTATCGTTTGAGCATAAAAAACAAGTTTAGAAGCCAATGCTTTGGCACTAGTGTTGTCACACCACAATACTGGAATACCAGAAATTGAAATATGGAGTTCTTGGAACAAGTTTTGTAGCCAAGCAATTTCAGTAGAGGCTTGAGCCAAAGCTCTGTATTTAGCTTCAGTAGAGGATAGACCAACAACCTGTTGCTTTTTAGAACTCCATTGGATGAGATTAGGCCTGCAAAATCCACAACATCCTCCGGTGGATTTGTGATCAGAGATGTTACTTGCCTAGTCTGCATCGACATAGGCGTCTAAATGTAAACAATCTCCTTTAGTGAAAGTAAGTTCATTATGAAGAGTACCTTGAATGTAACATACCACATGCTTGCAGGCTTGCCAGTGATTGACTGTAAAGGCTTTCAAAAATTGACTCAACTAATTCACCACAAAAGATAGACCAGGTCTTGTCATGGTGAGATATTGCAAAGCACCTATGAGACTTTGATACATACAAGGGTGTTCGAACTCAGGACTATCTTCAAAACTCAACTTTGATCTTACTACCATTGGTATTACTTGTTGGGTGGATTTTGGGAATAACTATTTAGTATTCCCAAAAAAGTTAAACAGTTAAATACCCAAAACTCACAATATTATTCAACTTTATTCAACATTTTTTTAAACCCCCTAAATTTGTTAATTCAAGTTAATACCCCTAAATAGTTTAAGTTTTTGTTACGGCGACTCCGGCCACCCTCCGGCGGTGATGCCGGCTTCGTCCTTTGAGGGTGGATGGGGGTTTTGTTATTTTAATGTTTATATATAAGGGTGTTTTGTAAAAAAACATAACATAGGGGGTATTTTATAATTATAAATCCTACATCGTAATACCCACCCACATTCAACTTTTTTTTTACTTTTCAAAAAACTTTTCCAAAACACAAAAATTGTGAACCAAACGGAGCCATATTTTTTATTATTATCATATTTTTTTTTTGTATTACATTAATTTTAATATATAAATTTATCTTATAATAGTAATAATTCAGTACAATTTTTTTAATAACATTTTAATTTTATATAGATAGATAAACAACTAACATGTTCATAAATCTGACAGGAGCAACTCAAGGAAGAACTGCAAAAGCAAAAATGAGAAAAAAGGGGAAGATTCCTTTTTCTCTTGAAATTATGAGGCAATCAAACACTCGCACACAGTTTTTGTCAATACAGAACTAAAAAGTAAAGAAATCTACAACAAGTAACATGTTCATAAATCTAACAGGAGCAACCCCTAAGGAAGAACCAGCAAAAGCAGAAATGAGAAAAAGGGGGAAGATTCCTTTTTCTCTTGAAATTATGAGGCAATCAAACACTCGACACACAGTTTTTGTCAATACAGTAACTAAAAAAGTAAAGAAATTAACAAAGTAACATGTTCATAAATCTAACAGGAGCAACCCCTAAGAAGGAAACCGCAAAAGCAGAAATGAGAAAAAGGGGGAAGATTCCTTTTCTCTGAATATTGATGCAATCAAACACTCGCACACAGTTTTGTCAATACAGAACTAAAAAAGTAAAGAAATTAACAAAGTAACATGTTCATAATCTAACAGAGCAACCCCTAAGGAAGAACTGCAAAAGCAGAATGAGAAAAAGGGGGAAGATTCCTTTTTTCTCTTGAAATTATGAGGCAATCAAAACATCGCAATTAGTTTTGTCATACAGAACTAAAAAAGTAGATGTGACCTGCAAAGAGGCCCAGCTCAAAAATATCCATAAGAAATCCCCGAATAGACTGGTGCACTTTAGAACTCTCAGTGAGTGTTATAATAGAAATCACAATTCCA